GTTTTGAATGCAAAAAAGCCGAGCACACTGAAACTCTCAGATCAAAAACACCCTGACTAAACGATGAAATGTGGAGCGTGTCATGTCTTGCATTTCACACAGCACATTAAATGTTGTGCAAACTTTGCAGTCGACTGATCCTAATCAGCACTGATAAGTGTGAGAGCGCCTAAAGCACTTCTGTGGCTCAAAATGACGACAGATGTGTGCACAAAGGAGAAACTTGCTATGTACAAAAAGTTTGCGCTGACGATTTGAACTGAGTTGCTCCACTTCAAAGCCGGACTGTGAACAGAACTAATGGGACATTAGCGACTATGTATATTATCTATTAAATTATCACTCACTGCCTTTCATGCCATCATATCATCAATAAAATCTGTTCAGTGGTTAAAAAGAAAAAAATGGTATAGGTCTTCTGGACGGGTTCATAAGATCTGGTTCCCCGGCACAAACAGAGCAATGTTGTATATGCTGTTAAGTGCCAGGAGGACTGAGACCAGTTATACATCGGGGAAACAAAGCAGCCACTGTTCAAAATAATGTCCCAACACAGACGAGCTACATCTAATGGCCAGAACTCTGCAGTTTTCACTCATTTACAGGCCAGCGGTCACTCTTTCAGAGATGAGGATGTTCTCATTCTTGATAGAGAGGAACGTTGGTTTGAGAGAGGAGTAAAAGAAGCCATTTTTGTGAAGACCGTCCATCATTAAACGGAGGTGGAGGCCTCCGTTTTCAGTTGTCCCACTCCTACAGTGCTGCTATTGCCAGTATCACTCCACCCCCTGTTAACAATAGGTGTTAATTAGGTGTCAACGATAGCCATGCGATGTGAGTATCAGTCACATGGAGGCAGGGCTTAAAAGCCTGAATTTTGCCTGAAACTCTCAGACTGAAGAAGTCTCTTGGAGGAGAGACGAAACGTTTCATTAGAGAAGAACCCGTCCGGAAGACCTATACAATTTTTTTCTTTTTGATTTTTTACCTGGATTACTGAGATGCATCAGGACTGTTCAGTGGTTCTTGGGATATTTTGGAAGAGACAGAAACACATTATCGCCCGCCCTTTGCTTGCAGGGATGGGAGATAATTAATAACCAAACCAGAGCCAATAACCTGCCAAAACACTGCACAGTCCTGTGGCCGTTATAGGGCACCGCAGAAACAATACGAGGCCTCGCAGCCGAATTTTCACCAGCAACTGAGTTTCATGGTGACGCTGAAAGATATCAAAGATTAATTAAAAGGCAAACATCCAGCTGCAGCTGTGGGATAAAAAGAAAAAAATGATTTCAATGCAGCCAGAGAAGATAATTTATCTTCTGGGATTGCCTACTAAAAATAGAGCACACGCCTGATTTTTAAAACTCCCCAGTTTCCTGTTTTCCATCAGGACCGTGCAGGTGTCGGCGCTGATGAAGAGCCAGTTGTACCTCCGATGAGGAATCAGAACTGCTCTGTGATTTGGACAACTGTGAGAATTCGACGTTTCGTCTCCAGACTGCAGCTGCTGCACCTGCTTTTGTCCGTGTTTCATCTGAAAATTAAAGTGGATTCTTTTCTACTTTTTTGCCATGACTTCAAACACATGGAATAAATGAAGGAGGCATATGTTATTTTTAATAAATCCCTGAGCTGTGATTCAAACACAACTGGACCTTAAAACCATTTTACAATCTATTTCCCCACCTTTAGCTTTGAAGCATTTTTAATATCTTTGCAGAATCTGGTATTTGTGCTCTTATCATCAATGCAGAAGACGATGGGGCGATGATGTTTTTGCCTGTATCAGTCTGTTAGCAAAACATCTCATGAACCACTGGATGAATCGATGGCTGAACATCTAGAATTAATCAACGCTTGGAGTTGACCCAATTCAAGATGGCTGCCACACACTGGCCTTTTCCTGACTGAGAGGTTTCAAACAAATCCTGCCATAATCTATTTTGTACTTCAATTCGAGGAACAAGATTATGGAATAATCTGGAGAGTGATGTTAAAGATGCCAGATCAATGATAAAAGTTGCCTGTAGATGAAATAGTATAATGTGTATCTATAAAAAAATGCTGCTCAAGAAGGGTTGATGTTGTTTTGTTTTGTTTTTGTTATTTGTAGATTGTCATTGTTTCAATTTACTTTTGGAAAAAAGGAGAAGATATACGTTTTTATTTCTTCTTTCTGCTGCTATTCATTTTTATTTGTGACTTGTTTTTATTGTATAAAAAATTATATATATATATATATATATTTTTTTTATGAATAAGTTTTTGAAAGGAAAAAAAATTACCCATCACAATAAACAAGCTGAAAAGATAATCCACATCAACCAAATGAACACGTAATTTTTTCTACGCTGTTACAAAAATTACTGACTTTGGTCCCAATAACTACATGCAAACAATGAAACGAAACGATTGCACTTCAAGTAGACATATCAGGCTTAAAGATCCTTCTTTCTCACATTTAAATCATTCAGTTGGGGTCTATATAAAGTGGAACAGCAGTGTTTTGAATTCCTCCTTAATGTAACTCCACAAGCCCCTCTTTCACCTCTTTTCTGAGGTGTCTCATTTTGAGGCTGTCTCTTTAAATCCAAACGAGGTGCTTCACATCATGCCCAGTGCCAGCTTCCAGACCGGTCCATTCTAGTTTGATAGAGGGGTTTACGACTGTATAGCAGCGCAGAAACCTTTTATTTTACAAATGAATCAAAAGATGTGAACAAGGGAAGACTTGTCGGTCCAGCCTCACATGATGAAGTCAGAGTCTGATCCAGAGCCAGAGAATAAAAACAGAATGGTAATATTAATTGGGGTGTTAACTTTAATCTGTCAAAATGATGGATAGACTTATAAGAAATAATTTTTTATTGACTTTCAAATGCACTTCACACGTACATGTTTTTATAATAATGTGCAATCAGTTTATTTTTATCCTGTCATTAAGTTGTTGTGAGAACAATTAGTTCCTCTGGGACTATCTAGTTACACGCCTCTCATTGATACAACACAATCAAACACATGCTGTTTCTACAAGTTCAGGAATTTCTTGGTTGAGAACTGGGTCACCAGGTGAGGTCATGTCCCCTCGTTTGACGATGTCATTTCCAGGAAGCGTGACTCGGTTCTGAAGAAACTGTTATAATCTCCTGTTTTGTGATGAATCAGCGCCAACTTGTCTGAGACCTAAAGTGCAGAGTTACATGGCTGGCCGGCGCTGAAAAGGTTTGGTAAAATGCTCATTAAGTCTAACTTTGAATTGGTGTCCTGTGTGTAATTCGAGATTGTACTTTGACCACATTATTTTCTTTAAGCCTTCAGATTTTTCTATAATTAAAAAAAGGTAAAATACAGAAAATTTTCAGTTAACGCCCTCCTCCTTAACAAAAACACAAAAAAAATCATTAATTTGTCAGATTTACAAATATTGAATTAAAATTTGGTGTGGTAGTA